CGTAATGCCATTATCGATATCGGTCCCCGTTCTATGTTTATAAATAAAATATCCACTTTTCTGCAGAATTTAATCCATCGCTCGTTAATCTCCATACACGATCGCGATGCGCGAAATAAACTAGCGCGCGTCGCCACGTACAGACGCACTGATTAATTCCGATTTGCTCGTTATCGAGGCTATCGAAGCCGAATGTCAATTCGGGAAAATCCCCAGATTATCGACGGAACAATGGCGTAGCCCGTGCCCGTGACAAATGATGCTCGCGCGGTGATTTTAATTGCTCATTATCCGCGAACGACGTCTAACGGACGGTATTGTATTCGTGTCGAGTAGCGTTATACGCGTACATAATGGTGTTATATTGGTTAGTACAGTCGTACAGCTGATAAGCGTGACCCTTAGTCCGAAGGTTTGCACGTGGGTGAGTCTGTGAGTGTTGTGCACGCACGTGTTGTACAACTACCTTAGGTATGTGGGCAAGAAGCGGATATGTTTAAGTAAAAGTTTATCGCACAAAGTGACGCGTGTATCGGGGTTACGATAGGAAGGGCAGAATTAGAAGACGTAGACCTTTTACCCCCACTCAGTGCACAACTGTCCCTGAACCATTAGTGCGCGGTGTCGATGCAAATGTGTCTGTATGCGAGTGTACATGTGTGGATGTTGTGATCACTAGTGTGTACGTGAGCGTATCGTTAATCGGTTCCGGTATGATTTCATCTCCAAGGAATATTTTTATAAAAATATATTTATTTATTTTAAAAAATATATTTTTTAATGCTCCAAAACGGTATTTATTTAACGTGGTTATCCAAGTTTAATCAGATGTTAGGATACAGTAGACGGAAAGAAAATCCGCCTTACGACAATATTAAGTTATTTTTAAAGGGAGAGTAATACTGATAAAATTCCGAACGAAATATTGTTCCGTGACGATAAAATCACATCGAAGGCGGTTAACTTTTAGTGTCAGCTCACTCGCCAGAAGGATGTAGAAAATCTTCGTTTTCATTTCGAGTTTTGTGGATCCCTTTCTCTTTCCTTTCCGTAAAAAGAAAAAAAGGATTCCTCGCCAGTCGATACGTGAACATATCGATCGTCGCGAGAGTCATCGTGTAGCGACGCGAGGCAATCAGCGGATGCTCTTGCACGCTCGATCTTAATTGGAGGGGTAAAGGTTTGTAATCACTACTACCGCCCGATGTGACACGAGACGGTGACTCCAGCAATCAAAGATGCTCTAACTATGTCATCAACTCCAATCTAAGTCGTTACTCAACTTGCCTTCGAACGGCGCACAAAAAAAGATCTCGCCGACAAAAAAGATACTACGAGAACACCACTACGCTCTCGAAGAGAGAAAAGAGAGAAAGTACAAAAGAAAAACAAGAAGAAGAAGGAAAAAAGAACGTGAAAACGGAAGAACGCAGGAAAAAACGTGATTACACGTTGTAAACCTAACGCAAGGTAAGCAACTGACGAAACATGCCCAAAAATTAATTACGGCATTCACGAAACGTATGTCGATGGTTGATATATACTGGATGAATATATGGCGTGTCTTCTCTCTGGCGACGAACCAAGAAGTGAATCGCAGTGATACGGACTAACTGACAAACAACCAAGAAGGAGTGAAAACCGAAGAAACGGTATGTACATACAGCATACTTTCGGAGTATGCCCTGACTGTGACTGCGAGGTCCCAGGCATCGGAGGAGGTGGTAGGATCAACGGAAATCATAACTGCGCTTAATCAATTTTTGCGGCCACACTCTACTTTGTCGACCCGCGACTCCGCACGAGCATACACGACGGAAACGAGACCAAAGTAAATTTTGAAAAAAGCCAATCCGATGCGAAAAAAAAAAATGGTTCAACCCAAACAGAAGAGACAAAACAGAGAAAGTAAGACACGGAGGCACGCATGAGTATAAAAATGTAAACCATGAAAGAGAAATAAGGAAACAACAAATAGTCGACCAAATCAACAATGTAGTCCAGGGAAGCATCTATTCGTAAAACATGCCCAAAAATATGTTTACGGCACACACAACAAATGTATAAGAGATAGATAGATAGATAGATAGATAGATAGATAGGTAGAGTTCTGCGTCTAAATCCGGCGCGAGAATTCGTCGTGGTCCAAATTGGCTGGCAATGACTGTAGTATATATATATATATATATATATA